CAAGCTTGACTGTTTTAAGCACAAACTGCAAAGTTGCATAGGAACGCAAAACTCTACGGGTTTTCTCATTAGACTCCTGCTGATTTTATCTCCTTGCATTGTTCACATTTGTCTTTCACCATTCAGGGAATTAATAAGATGCACTTTTCTTCCCTTTTCGCTATCTCATTCAAGCTAACCGCCACATTCCCACCCCTTCTGCTCTGCCCCGCACTGTCCAGTTGCCACCGAATGCAGGCAGCGAGTCCAACATGGTAGAGTCGCCTGAATCATCGGGGACCAATGCTCGAGGAGCATCCGCTGTCGACAATCCATTCTGCGCAGCAAACATTGATGTTACTAATTTTCTCAATCTGAACTCACATCTCAGTCACGATGACTTTTGTCTCGCTTACGTGTTCACCTACCGCGACTTTACAGGTGGCACCCTTGGCCTTGCTTGGGTGGCAGAGCCCGGGGGTTCAGGGGGGGTATGTGAGAAGCACCGCTTGATGCGAGAGGGTTCCCAGAACGTCTACAAAAGCCTGAACACGGGCATCGTAACTCTTCTCAATTACGGCGCCCACGTAATTTGAAAGCTCATTCATCCCAATTTTTAACCCGACTCGGGAACGCAATATAGCTATTTTGGCATTCATTAGGATTAGTCAACTTCTCAATCTGCTTTTACTGCTTCATCACACACGAAGAAATTGTTAGAATTTGCTAATTGCTCATTTATATTCCTTAACCAACGTAAATTACATCATGGTTAATTTCCTGGTTGTTAAAGTTTGATCAGCATTTGCATGATTTTTTTCTTTCAATCGTATATATGCCTAATCGATCTCCTATTTGGTTCTAATAAAATTATTTCCCATCTCTTAATTAAAAGCAATTATCAGATGATTACAATTTACAATATGTTTGATCGAAGGTATGTATACAAAGATGGTATGGCCTTTTGCATTTTCGCAGTCTCTTTTCGTTGTATAGTAGTTTGACCTTGTTTTCGCAATTTGGTCGTATTGGCAGGAAGACCTAGAGAAGCACATCTAGTCCGAAGTCCAAAGTATGCATGATAATTTCCAGTCGGACCGTGGACATGGTACATTTCCAAACGTTTCGCCGGCATCGTCAGTGAGCTTTGTTATTCTTACAACCACGCTACAAGCCAAAAATGCAAGTAAAGTCTATCCTTTGACCAATTGTCTGCTAAACACTTGTGGTATCTTTCCTTCCGTCCTGGACTATTTACCTATCCTATATCATCTTACCACTCCTTCAATATCACAATTTCTTAATTGTGCTATGGTGTGCCCTTTTGAGCGGATTTCCTGAGACTTTTTGATCCACGCGAGCTTTCTCACCCCACCCTCTACCATTGTGTTGGGAACGTTGATCTGAATCTATCATATTATTCCGCAATCCTGTTCCCATACGTCTCTCCGCACTCCCTCTTGCCCTGTGGATCCGTCTCCTATCCCCCTGGTTAAGGGATTCTACTTTATCCCCCCTAACTATCTAGGCTACTCGAGGCGTTATTTCCCACACTCTTCATCAAGCCTTTGATGGCACGTATACTTCCGCCTCGTTGAGTAGGCCGACAAATGAATTCTTAAGCTGGATGGGAGATTAACTTTAGGCTATAGATTTCGAGTAATTCTCATCGTCAAGCCTTTGCGTCATCAAATACGTCTACTGTTAGCCAACTAGCTCTAGCCTCCGCTGCACCTATCGTACTTTTATCCATAATGCCAAGTCTCTGACTTCCTGTCCTAGTTTCTTGTGTGCCAACCCATAGATGTTGTGGCTCTACTTGTTTTGATTAGGCTCACTGAAGACTTCTCCTCTGCTTCTGCTTGTTGCTTTCTCATCCCCCTGCGATCTCTTTTCCTAAAATTAAGTATATTACCTTGCTGATATTGCTGTTGAATGGTCTTCTCCGAGTTTGTTTACGCAATATGCAAAGTTTTCGCTGATCCTGCCTTCTTTAAGTCTTCTGTTCATTAGATTTCTCTCGGTCAGTATTTCGATGGCCTCTCGGATCTTGCGTTTTCTCGTATTTTCACCACATACAGCCGCTTTTCTGTCGATTTCGTGTCTCGTCCGTGCAACGTGTTTAACTATTTCGGGTCTTTTCGTATCTATTTTTTTGCAGAATTTGTGGTGTTGCTTGGTTCCTAAGCCGATTTTTATTTCTATTTCACCAACATACTTCTGCCTACAGTTGCCGTATTTGATGCGATAAACGCCCGAACAATCCAATTTGTCAATCTTCTCATGTTGCTTCGGCAGACTGTTTAAAAGTGTTATCTTCTCTGTTATCACCTTTACATTCCATATTCTTAGTAGCTTTCGCGATTTTTGGCTCAGTTTTAATGAAAGCAGGCATATGCACTTTTTTTCGTGATTCCTAATTGAATTTTCATAAAGTCAAAGTTTAAATCTGCTCTTTATAACGCCTAAATTTCCTATAAATTATCTGGGGTATCCGTTACTAAAGCAACTCCAATTCAGTTTGTCCAAATCATCGTCCTAGAACTCAGTTTCCCCTATTCTTAAGTTTCTGATAATAAAACTCCCCAGTATTCCGATCTTCAGTCTGCAGCTACGGTAAGGCTGAAAATTAGGGATTATTTCCGCATATGCATTTTTAATGATTATTCTTCTCATGACTATCCCGTTGGAGCGCATGACTTCAATATCCAGGAAGAGTAGTCGTCCATCCACTTCCATTGTGAATTTAATTCTTTCATCAAGATGGTTAATACAATTGAGGAATTCATTCAAATTTTCCTTACGATGCGACTAAAGTGCAAGGTAGTCATCCGAGTATCCCACAAGCACTCTTGATTGTAGCGGTGACTTCTCTAATTCTTTTTACAATCTGTCCATGTATGCATTTGCCAAAAGAGCTGAGAGTGCAGATCCCATTGGTTGTCCAAATATTTGCTCGTAAATACTGCCTTTAAGGGTTTAATAGGTGGTCCTTACTGTCAGGTTGATCAGTCGTGTTAACGACTCCTTCCGTATCCTTTCTGCCTCCAGGATATCCCCTTCTCGCTCCAATACCTCTAGTAGGGCGCTTACTGCCTTCTCTCCTGAGATATTTGTGTACATCTCTCAGTCTCGTAACTTTCCTCTAATTTGTGGATGGAAGCGTGATAAAGTATTTCATCAACAGTGTCCGAATTACACTTCTTCATTAGGTTGCAAAATCCGGAAGGGATACCATAATGTTTGCAAGAATTCAAAAAGGTCAAATGGCAGGAATGACTTACAATTGTCTTCTTTGCCAAGATATAATCGGTGCCTGTTTTAGCAATCTTACTTCACTAGTTCAATCGAAGGTTTGTATACCAAGATGATGTAGCCTTTTGTATGGTCGCACTCTCCTTTCGTTGTATAGTACTTTGACCTTGCTTTCGCAATTTGGTTTATCTGAATCTGCCATATTATTCCACAATTCTCTTCCTATACGTTCTATCAGAATTTCTTTTCTATTCCGGGATATGGATGTATTTTTTCGAGTAATTTGATTTGGGAAATTTACT